GCGAACATGTGCACACTTTTTCGGGTTGACTATTTAAAGGTCACATTGGCGTCCATGATGCCTGGTGACCTTCATGTGTTTTTTCATGGTGACTGTAGTGCTGCCAATCACGTGCTACGCGGCGAAACCCAGTTCTCAAAAACTCTCACCTGTCATGACTTTCACTGCAAAACATCATAGAGTCTTTGCATATATGTGAGATGACTTCTACTGTCAACACTAATACGCGAAATTTGTATTACGCAATAATTTGTTTCCATTAAAAAGCTTTTACCCACCACTACTTTGCTGCAAAGCTCACACATTATTTAGATTCACAAGACATTACTTCTACTGTAGGTTGAGGCACAGCAATACGTTAATACTTCTGTTTGTAGGTGTAGCCTCACCAAAATCCTGGGGGGAGCCCATGTATGGGCGGAATGACACGCGCGAAATCAGGCCAGAAGTGACCTCTCTATAGACGCCCCATGTTAAGGCCTCGCCGTGCAGAGGTGGTTCTATTGTAATGCGCAGCAGTGGACCGAACCCCTCGTTAAGCATGAAAGTTCCATCCCAGTGTTTGGTGAAGAATACACAGTATTTACGGAATGGGACGGAAGGGAACGCTGTGAATGGTCCGGACCGGGATGGACGAACCTAAACCGAACTGAGCTGAACTGAACTGAACTGAACTGAACTGATCTGAGCTGAACCGTACCGTACCGAACCGAACCGAACCGAACCGAACCGAACCGAACCGAACCGAACCGAACCGAACCGAACCGAACCGAACCGAACCGTACCGTATCGTACCGTACCGTACCGTACCGTACCGTACCGTACCGACCAAACCGAACCGAACGAACCGAACCAAACCGAACCAAACCAAACCGAATCGAATCGAATGGAATCGAATCGAATCGAATCGAACCGAACCGAACAGGACGGACAAAAACGGACATGAATTGACAAGAGCGGAACGGCTTGGCCGGGACGGCATGGGTTGAAGCAGGAAGAGGCAGCACGGGACGGAACGGAACGGTACGGCACAGCACGGCACGGCACGGCACAAGACGAGGCGAGATGAGACGAGACGAGATATGACGAGACGAGACGGGGGACGGGACGGGGTGGGACGAAGCGAAACGGAACGGAACGGAACGGAACGGAACGGGACGGGACGGGACGGGACGGGACGGGACGGGACGGGACGGGACGGAACGGAACGGAACGGGACGGGACGTGACGGGACGGGACGGAGCGGATCCAGGAGCAGGACAGGAGAGGGCGGAGCAGGGGCGGCCACGGCAACGCCAAGCAGAGAACAAGAAGAGTCAGGACGGGACAGCGCAACTTTTAGGACAGAACAATGAACAGGACAGCTGGAGGCAACAGAACTGGTCAGGACAAAGTGGTACAGGAGCGGCCTTATGACGGGACAAGGCCGGACTGGCTTTGCTTTGTCTTGTCTTTTCTCTTTTGCAGGTCGTGCCCTCTGTTCCCTGCACCCTACATTCTACCCCTATCCTGAGCAATATGTCCTCCGTCTCGCCCTAGTCTCCATCATTCCCTGTCCCCCAGTCTTTACTGCCCTTTGCCCTACCCCGCTGTGCGTTGTTCTCTGTCCCGCTCCTCTGCTCTGCAATGTCCTCGGTCCTGTCCTGTCATCGGTTCTGTCCAGTCCGGCGTCCCGCCCTGTGTTTTGTACTCTCCTGTCCTGCCCTGCCTTGTTCCGTTTTGCTATCTGCCCCACCCTCGGACATGGCAGAGGCCAGAGATTCGTCCTATGTCCTCCGTACCGTCCTCTTTGCTACGCCCTGCCTATATCCAGCAATGCGCGGACCATGGTCCTCTTTCTGTTCCCGGCCCTCTTTCCTGTCGTCCGTCCAGACTCTGTGCTGCCTTCTGTGCTGTCTTGCGGTTTGCCTTGTTTGCCGTTAATGTATTTTTTGGGTGGGAGGGGAGGGGGCGGCTGCTGGGTCCACATTGCTCTTTGGCATATCCTCGATCCTCTTCTCTGTCCTGTCTTTTGTGCTGTCCCCTGTGCAGTCCTCCGTATCGTCCTCCGTCGCCTGTCCTGTGCTGTTCCGTGCTGCTCCGTCATGGGCGCTGCGCAGCATGATTCCACTATCGTCCTGTGTCTACTAATGCGGAATGTTGGGATGGACAATTCCGTTTTATTATGCTACAAGGCTTAGCTGTGACTGGCATTGGTAACGTCAGGGGCCAAAAGCCGAGCCATGGCGTCGGCAGTCGCGACCACTGAAGTTTTCGCGGACGAGGGCTGCACTCTGGGCTGCCAAAAAAGAAAAGCGGGGTAATGTGACAAAGCGTTGACCACGTAGTTTACGCTACTATTATCACTGATAATTATTTGGTAATTGGTATTTTGGTGTTTGGTAAGAGCATACGTTTTTTTACGTGTAAGTTGTGTTGTTTATCACCAAGGCCACATAGAGCCCTGCCGTAGAAGCAATGACCGGTATCTGTTTGTGCACTAGGTCTTGTGTGTTGTCGCGGGGCAAATGATGTCGCGCAGTAAAGACTGTATAAGGATTCGCAAGAGGAGTGATGACGAGAATATGTCTCTGAAGTATACATTTTGTCGTGTAGCACTCATGACGTGTATACGTCTTTGCAGCATGAGTAATGCCACGTCAAGTATAAACTATAATGATTTATGATTGCGGTATTTTTTAAGTAACAGGGTCTACATGGGATGGGAACCAGGTCCATCCTTCAGGAAGTTCCATCGAAGTACATTCCATGGATGAGAAACAAGTTCCATCAAAGTGCCTTCAGCCCTCACGCAGCCAGTTTTGTCTAGATACCCTTTTAAGCAAGAGGTTGCTTGGGTTCACATAAGGCTAACAACGTTGTCTGACCTGTAAAAAAGATCAAGCATTTAAATATTCATAGCTCAAATCAAGACGTCTGCTGGCGTCCTTGTGAACATTAATTTCTAAATCAGTATAAGGAACTATCAAATGAAGCAAAACTTCTAGTAAAAATTGGTTGCTTGCCTGTTTTGACCTTGACCCGACCTTTGTACCTGACCTGAGGCCAACGGAACTTTGACTTTACGCTTCACCAAAGGTCAGTGAAATTTTATGCAGTTCTGATTGTAATTATCTGATTGTCTAAGAAACTACAGCAAAGTTATGCGGTATCCGCATGGTAAACACGCGCTCGGGTGAGAGTGGAGGGATGTGGGCGATTCAACCCCCGAATGTTTCTCCAGACTGATTTCCCAATGGCCCGGTGTAGCCGCGCTAAGTTTTGAGAAGCCGTAAGCAATTGCAAAGTGAAGCTTTTTATATCAAAATTAGGTGCACTTTGTAAGGTTGCTGACCTATGACGGGTTAAAGTCAGGCCTTGACGATCAGTGAAGACATTTCTAAGGACTTATTCAATCTGCTGTGACAACGGAGTGTTAGACGAAGCCATACACTCTGAGGCATTTTCTTAGGACGTACATCAACTGAATTTGGTGGAGTTACAACACATTCTATTTACCTAAGAGCAGATGCGAAGGTCAGACGAATGTCAAAACTAACTTGCTTTTTTACTTAAGAGCTTGTTGTATGGAGTAGCTTTTTGGCGCCTATTTTAAAATCACCCATGACAGGGGCTGCGACAGACATGTTTCATGGGCCTTTTAAAAGTTAAATTAGGCCACTGATCTCAAATAACCTAGGCTAATGTTTGGTTTTAATGAACGTATCACCTGGCGTAATGCCTGGCGCTAATTTGAATGAAAAATAACAGCAATTTCGTGTATCTTTAGCCACATTGACTTTTCATACGTCAAACAAGTTTACCGACCCTCAACGACCACCAATGGCCTTTTTGCTTACAACAGCTATCGCGGTTCAAGAGGGTTGCGTGAGAAAGTTTGAGCGCACTTTGGACACCAATCTGGAATTTCACCTCCTTTGACCTTATTTGACCGCAAGATGACGAGGAAACCTAAAAGAGGTGAGCCTAGGGACCTGAAATTTTGATATAAGTTCACATACCGGTCAGCCTACCTGCCATGTGCACTCGGTGTCTAGCTATCTTAGTTTCCGAGATCTCAGGGGTGGTATTGAACGAACAGCACTCAACCGGCCACCCAGGCGCGTGTTAACACTCTGTTCTCGCACTAGCGGGATACAACTCCTGCAAGGTGCTTTGCGTATAACCATGAGCTGAATTTACCCTGTTACGTATCGGCGGCCTTAGGATGTATACCTGATTGTTCACTGAAAGACCGGCTGTTCTACAGCTTAACAAAGTTTGGCTGCTACGCAGCACCCCTCGTGAATAACTATGGAAACACCTTAGAGGGTTCAAGCAAACCACACACCCTAACGCATGTTAAGCCAATGCCTTCTTATATAGTGACTGGGTGCTATTTTTGGGTAAAAAATCAACATGCAGATAGGTGCTCTATCATAGAATATGGACACTTGGAAAAGTTTAGTCTACGATTGGACCGATTTGGGAATCGCGCAAAAAAATGTGCCTTCTAGCTACATCGGGATACCGAGACATTGTAAGTCTGGGTAATAATCGAACCAAGGTCATTGACAAAAATGCTAAAGTGTGGTATTGTTGTATGATGTCATCACGTGGTGTGCGAGAACGCAGCGAGCTGCTTGTCACCACATCCAATCGCCTTTGAAAGTCAATGGTGGTGAGTTTGGGACGCTCTCTGTTAAGTGGAGGGCTTTGGAAGACATTGCACCCGCAAAGTTGTGAAAGGCTTTTGTTTGCTTGAAGAGCAAGTGTAACGTCCTTATTTGACTATTGTTAACAGCAAAACCCGAACATCTGGGACATAACCACTTATGCGTTATGCATTCGACTGTAACGCTCTGTACTTAAACCTAGTCATAATGGAATCTTCAGGCGCAAAACCTCTATTTTGAAGTTACTTTTGTTTTTTTAACCTAACATGACTGATCAAACGACAACCGAATACTCGGTGGGTTCTTCACACGATTCTGTGAAATATTTCCTGACATAAGCATTGTATTCATAAACCACGGTGTTCGCGTAGTGCACTAACTTTTACAGCCACATCATCTGCACCATTTGGCGAGTATGTGCCTGATCAAGAATAGAATACAGAAGCCCTTTTCATGCAACTATAATAAGACGGGTCTTAGTCCGGTCCCAAATCTAAAATACACAAAAACTGGGATAAACGGGGGCAAAACAATGGTTTGCCGTCAGGTCCATCGAAACGTCTGTTAAATGGTGGTGGTGAAGTGCTTTTATTTCATCATGCGGCATTCCTCATTTTATGTTTGCAACTTCAGTCCATAGGACCAAATCATAAGGCACGGCAAACGTGAAATGAAGGGCGGTGATGTGGCGGCGAAACAAACACGATTTCCGAGCAAAATTTGTCCGTCATTTTCATAGACCCGATGTCATTCCATGACTTTTACTCCTGTTTATCCTAGTCTTGTGCATTCCAGCTTTGGTACCGACTTAGACGCCTGTCTAACGCCGCAAGCGTGAAAAGGGCTAGATAATAACATGACCTTCCGAGATATTCAAATCCAAGGACAAGTTTGTATTATCATTACCAGGTTCATAGAGAGCTGTGACGACACCAGTTACATTCTCTATCGGATTCCAGTACAATGTCAGACTGAAGCTAAACGCTGGAGCCCAAAGACCACAAGCGCGCTGACTTGTTGGCCTCACCACCGTGTTTAATTCCGCGCGCCTCCGTTCATAGACGTCTGGTCCTCCATTTCATCCGTGAACATGCTGTCGTCCTGCCGCTGTCGGCTCACGGGTAAGCGGCCCCCGATGCCGCCTCCCGTCGCCCCCACCTCCTGTACTTCATCGCGCAGGAGAACATGACGGCGAGGGCTCTTGGCCTTCTGCAGGAGGGACTCCGATTTGCTGACAATACCAGTGCGGTCCGCTAGCGCCGCCCGGCGCTTCATCGTGTCGAAGTAGCCGAAACCGTTGGAGAAGGTGTCGCCGTGGAATCCGCTGCTGTCCATCTCGGGACGGCGCTTGCTTGCCATCTTTCGCTTCATGGTGTCGAAGTAGCCAAAGCCATTGGAGAAAACGTCACCGTGAAAGCCGCTGGCGTCCATCTCAGGGCGCCTCTTCATCGTGTCAAAGTAGCCCATTCCGCCGTTGAATGTGTCACCATAGAAACCGCTGGCGTCCATCTCAGGACGTCGCTTCATCGTGTCAAAGTAGCCCAGCCCGCCGTTGAAAGTGTCGCCATAAAATCCATTCGCACCCATCTCAGGCCTGCGCTTCTTCAGAGCAAGGGACACGCGCTTCACGGGCGAGAAGGCGCCGAAACCGTGGCTGAAGACGTCGCCATGAAACCCAGAACGGCCTAGGCCGTTGGGCGCGCGCTTCCAGTTGATGTCCTCGCCGACACCCCAGGATGGCCCCCAGTCGGCCAGCTCCGATCGCTTGAGCCCAGAGATGGTCCTTCGTGATTGAGAACGCGTCGTAAGAGACGCGGACGGTTTTCCACCTGCGAACAGAGAGTGACGGGGTCATGGTGCTGACACGCGGTCGCAGGCAGACCTCCGCCTGAAGCCAGACAGGTGGCAGGGGCCTCGGCACGGACGTGCGGTAGCCCTGAGTACGGTGTTGGTACGGAGTGACGTCTGGGTACGAAGACGGAAGGAAAAAACTCTGACGGGTATTTCCCCGCGGAAAGAAGTGTGACAGAATCCCTCAGGGAAGCAGAAGCGACATGGGCAAATAGCGTGGTCATGTTGCGATGGCATGATTAATTATATGCATCGGACAATGCGCTCGCGGTAGAAGCATATAATGTCCGGTGGATCCACGAAACTGTCCAGGGCTTTAAGTCCGGTGAGCTCATCTAAGACTCATCCAAGTATTTGCGGTGTCTACCAACGGCAATCAAAAAGGCTTACCGTCGTCGACGCACACTTCGGGCACCATCACCAGTGCGATAATTGGTCTACTGTCCCCGATGCCTGGGCGTCGTTCCTGACTCCGAGCCCGGCGACCGGTCAGATCTGAACAAGTCTCGGTCGTCTCGGTTTTCTCAGAGTATCGGGAAGGTCGTGTGTCCTCGGCTTTCTTCACGTCTTATCGATCGTCGTTTACTCGCACCGTGCCAATTTGCATAACCCCCGTGTATTTCTCGACGAACACTTGTCCTGGAATAATCTCACCCTCAGTATAGTTTGGTGTTGTAACCCAGTAATGACTTCCTTACACAACATCAAAACACGACACCTTACATCCTGAAGCTTTTCGTCCAAGTATTTCCCAACATGCTATACCGTCTGTTTGCCGGAGAGCTGTAGCCAAACATCGCCTTGGTCGGGTGAAGGGACTATCCATTTCGCCGCTGAAGGAGACAGACGGACGATGGAACATTTAGACCGGCAGCCGCACATATGAGCGCGCGTCACATGTTCTAGAAATGCTGAGGTGCGCCAGTATTGCTTATCTGTTGCACCAGCTCGCCTGCATGAACGTGAACCACGTTCTGCATTTTAGCGGGCCATCCTGGCTTTGCGCGCGATTTTGCGGCACGCGCAGAGGTCTACCCGCGCCGCGATCGCGCGGTTACGCTCGGCGCTGGTGCGCCACCACATCCCTCGAGAGGCAGGCTGGCTGCCAGCCAGCGACAGTTGTTTACCATGTGCAGCCACTGGGAGCCGGCTATCAACGGCAGCCAGCCGTGCCTCGGTTTCCCGGCCACCTGAGAACACGGCCCCCATGGCCGTGCCTGTCTGTACGTGTACGTATGTCTGCGCGTACATTTTTGCGAAATTAAACTGCCTGGGTACATGAGAACCACCACGTGAGCACCCCTAAATAAACGAGTTATGGACTCAGGATGGGATTTGACATAAGATCATGGATGAAAAGTTTCACAACGTGAACGAAGCAAATTACTACTGGTTTGTCGCTGTATCTGTCCGCAATAACACGGCTTGGCCGCGTCCAGATACGTTTCTTCTAGTCGGCGAGCCGCTGATGAATTGGCTAACTACGGATGGCGGCCAGCCGACCCAGCTAGCTGACGGTTGGGAAGTTGGAGAGCTGTCCACAGATGGCCAGTGCAGCCCGCTGGCCCGGCCCGTTACCGCTAGCGAGCCGCGCGCTCCGCGCTGGCTGGCGACGCTCCACCGGCACCAGCTGCGTCAACTCTGCCGGCTAACGGAACCGCACGGATGCCAGCGGCCGCACACCGGGCAGCGCGGCGACGGCAGGCGCTCGTGACATGCCGGAGACGCAGAGGCGCGCTCTGGGATCGAGCGAGGTCGGCCAGAGGCGCGCTCTGGGATCGAGCGAGTTCGGCCAGAGGTGTGCTCTGGGATCAAGCGAAGTCGACCAGAGATGAACCGGGATCAAGCGAGGTCGGCCAGAGGCGTGCTCCGGGATCAAGCGAGGTCGGCCAGAGGCGCGCTCTGGGATCGAACGAGGTCGGCCAGAGGCGCGCTCTGGGATCGAGCGAGTTCGGCCAGAGGTGTGCTCTAGGATCGAGCGAGGTCGGCCAGAGGCGTGCTCTGGGATCAAGCGAGGTCGGCCAGTGGTTTCGCTTGCCGAACAGGCTGATGTTAGAGGTCGTCACAGCCAGCATGGGAAGTCGTGTGCGGCGACGGCGTGGAGAACACGCTGCTGGTAATGTTTGTGCTTAAGTGCTCTAGATCACGGAAATTTGTGCACATGGCTCAGCAAAATTTGCAATTTTGTTTATTCTCATAAGTTTTATCTATCTCTCTATAGGTTGTCGAAATTTTGGCTGACTATGTTACGACCGAAATAGGAGCCCATCCCGGGTCTTACGTCCTAGCAACTCACTAGACCGTATGCTTATGTCGCTTCCGCCTGTCGTTTTTAGACTGACTTTGCCTTAATTAGTGATTCCTAGCTAAAATCAAATATCTCTTAGTTGTTGGTACTGGTTATAGTTGGTTACCCGCTTGGGCAGCTGGGCCCATTCCCAGCGCTCGCTCCGTCTCCGTCCAGTACTTGATATTGCTTTTTCATTTTGTTTTTAAAAGTTCGCTTTTGTTCGACACCGCTTTTCAACGTTATTTATCTCTAATGCTCTAGTGGTCAGTATCCAATGTAATGCCTTGTGTTTTTTGAACGTAATAGTTTCGAACAGAGACCACCAACCTTGATAGTCTTGCCAGGTTTTCTATCAAAGAAGACTTACCAAAGTTCAAATTTATATCACGAACCGCTGATGAGCCTGGACAAACGGATACCGAACCGCACGCACGTGCTGCGTGTACGAATTTAATGACATCAGTAGGGAAAACTAGTTCGTTGCCGCCAGGCTGTATACGAATACTGATCTATGAACACCATTGAAACGCAGCATAGCACTGGCCGTGTGCCAGCACTGGGCGGGGTGGAGAACGGAGGACCAAGCGTCTGCACTGGCAACCTCATCCAACTAATGCGCTTAACTCAGAAGATACTGGAATAGACGGTGTGGTTGTCAAGCACTGTGCCAAATCAGGTGATTCTATGCCACCCCGTTATCGAAACGTCTATAAAACGAATGAGGAGGCAAATAAGTCCTCGCGTGCAGGTCCCGACTCCGTCACTGGCTGCACTGAGATGAAACAGGCATGTCCGTCATTCCCAACTACCCCAATGTCTAGGTACGTATGTTGAGCGTCTTCTGCCAGACACCGACTGTTCAGCGGAGAAAGGAACACGCTGGTATGTGTAGCAAGTGCGCGTTGGCTTACATAATAGGATGACATCAGCCTAGGTTGATTGTCTGGCCGCCATGGTATCCGCTCAGAGGAGCAAGCAGTTGGGGGAGGGGGAGGGGGTACCGCTCGCCGCTCACACCCGAGACAGATTGTGAATCACATTTGTGGTCACTGCCCAACCCTCCCCCTCCCCCTTCTCAGGAAAGTTCTGTGTACCCGGCGGAGTCACCCGTAACCGCAGCCACACATCTCTTGCGGATCCCGTGGTTCCGGGGAGGGGGGGGGATGCCTGCCACCTGGTTCCGGTCCTCACTGAACTGCTGTCACTTCTGCCCGCCGGGTTGGCGCACCCAGCGGCGGAGGCTTCCTGACAGCAGGCTTGTGCGTTTTGGCGCCGCACCCGTGAAAGCATAACCGGGCAAACTGACGAACGTATTGGGCTTTAGGGTCGGAAACTAAGCACGGAGATGACAAACTCACTTGGAGTTGCAGCCTCTTCTTGTTCGCTTTTCGCTCATGTCACCATGAGCCAGGCATCGGCATCAATGCAAAGTCTCAACAGACTTGGTGTCACATAGACTCGAGCCGTGCCTGGGTGGTTACCATCCGTCTGTTACTGTGGCATAAGCTCCCATGAGAATTCTTCGGGCCATCGGTGTCCATTGGTAAACCACACACAAATGCCACGTTATTCGTTAAATAATAGAATGGTCGCGACAGGTGCACCAATATATGTCAGCACAACGGACAGGTAAAATATTACAAATGTGGCAAATTATCGTTACATCAACAGTTAATATATCCGGAGGTTATCACATGACCTGAACTCGGTTTAAGGCACCAGTGACAATCTTCTTGCAAACGTAAACTGTTTACTTATGGATTGCTGCACAAAAGGAAATCATGCAACAAAGTCAGCATACGATGCCGCCGTTTTCGCGCATAACATTTTGAGAAGTAGATTGTCACTCGCTGAACTGATAAAGCCACTGAGCTCAAACAGCTCAAAGCTTAAACAACAGCTGAAGTGTCCGAAATTGTATTATTCTCAATCAAGTGTTCTGCCCCTAAAATTTTGTAACCACATCATCCTTCCGCCAAGTCGCACGCATCGCATCCTTCATGCGGACGGCCGCAGCCGACGCCCCAGGGTGGCATGGTCCTCCCCTCCCTCCCCCCCCCCCCCCAGGCGAAATGGGCCAGCGCCGCGGCTGGTCTACCCAGAGCTGCAGGCGGGGACGGCCCGATGCATTGCGTCGCCTGTTGGGGTGTGAGTCGCACAGAGCACGCAAGCGGGGGGCCTGGGCGGAAAGGCTGCCGCAGGGCGACCGGACGAGGCGCGTGGGGAGGAGGTTTGAAAAGTGCGCCGCCCGAACACCCCCCCCCCCCCCCATTCAAGCCATCATACAGCAGTGTGATGGGACCAGACGGGGGTCGTGTTGACGAACTGGCTGATTTTGACTGAGGGAGAAAGTTGAGCCCGGTGCGAAATCGTTTCTGCACGACACTAGTCGCTTCCTCGAGTTCCATACCTGATTGAGACAAAGCATACTGTGGCGTGTTGGAGACGGAACTATCGTTTAGCGCCGCTAGCGCCGTGCGGTGCGGCGGGGGGGGGGGGGCTGTTGGCGAACTTCTGGGCCACTGTTTGTGTTGGACAATCAGCTTGTCAGTTGCGGCTGATGCATACTGTGAAGCCGCAGGCCAAATGGCAAGAATAACACCATTTACATTGATCAGACCTGCCAACTGCGGGCAGCGCCATTTACTTTGGTTTGGACATGTCAACGGCTAGACGTCTCTATTCAGT